AGCAGCAGTGAGTCCCATCCCCACTCACTGCTTCCTCCTGTCTTTTGCCTCATCTGATCAGGAGTGTTTCTTTCTTTTTAATTGATTTGTTTTTTGGCCATGCTGTGTGGCATGTGAGATCTTAGTTCCCATGCCAGCAATTGGACCCACGCTCCCTGCAATGGAAGTGTGGATTCTTAACCAGTAGACCACCAGGGAAGTCCCAGAAGTGTATTTTAATCTTATGGCCTCCATGTGTGAAACCTGACTAGTGTTCGTCACTGGCCTATAGTTCATGAACACTTAGGAAATAGCCTTGGCCCTGCCTAGGTGAGCACAGATGCCAGATGGGGAGTTTCTGGGGGTGGAGGGGTAAGTATGGGAGTGCACTGAGATTCACAGCCCCCAAATCCTGTTTTCTCTAGATCACAGATCCTGTCCTGGCTTCCCCTAATGAGCAGTCCATCCTGGAGGCCGGGAGGGCTGTCAACTTCCCTTAGCTGGCAGGGAGTCAAATAGGACTCCTGGTAGCCTTTCTTGGGGTAGCAGCACCCTGGGTGCAACACGCAAGGTGCCTTGGGTTATTACTTGAGAGTGAAAGTCACTCAGTCATGTTCAACTCTTTGCGACCCCATGGACTATACAGTCCATGGAATTCTCCAGGCCAGAATGCTGGAGTGGGTAGCCGTTCCCTTCTCCATGGTTATAACTTACATTTGGTTTAAATGCATAAGCACAAGGCAGCCAACGGTTGTCAATGTACAACTGTAAATCCCTGGGTCCAGGCTGGTGTACATATGTGGCTATCATATAACATGGTGGTGTAGTCTCTAAGTCGTGTCCGACTCTTTGCGACACCATGGACTGTAGCCCACCAGGCTCCTCTGTCCTTGGCGATTCTCCAGGCAAGAATACTGGAGTGGGTTGCCATTTCCTTCTCTAGTCATATTATACATATATATTTTTAAACAGGGCTACAGCCAAGCCTCTTTTCTTTTTTAAAATATATTTGTTTGACTGCTTTGTGTCTTAGTTGCAGCACGTGAGATTTTCAGTCTTTGTTGAGGCATATGGGATCTAGCTCATTGACCAGGGATCAGACTTGTGTCCCTTGTATTGGGAGGTGGATTCTTAACCACTGGACCACCAGAGGGGTCCCAATAATTATTATAATAATAATTTATATTAGTGTATCGTTGATATCCTAAAAATGATATCTATTGAGTGTTTATTTGTGCCAGGCACTGTGCTAAGTGCCTGCAGTGTGTGACCTCATTTAATCTTAGTTGCCTGTGAGTAATCCCCATCTCTGTCCCCATTCTGCAGATGGGAAAGCTGAGGCTTGGAAAGGGGAGGTCATTTCTGGGGCCTGCAGTGAGTGCCTGGCGAGGTCTGGATTCAAGCCCTGTTCGTCTGACTGCAGGCTTTCCTGCCGTCCTGGCCTCTGAGAACTCAAATAATTTGGTTTGGGATGACGCCAGAGAGCTGAACTTCCAAGTCATCTCCGCTGTTTCTGAGTATGTTTTATTTTAATATTGCATAAAACAACTCTGTTCTCCCCTGGAGAGAGCCACTCTATGTCTTGGAGGCTTTTCCGGCTACCTGTTCGCCGGTCTCGGACACAGACCTGAGGAGTTAGGTCCGAGGAACTGAATTTCAGCTGCTGTAGCTTTGGGGTTTCTTCCAGGGCTCTGGTGGAGGCGGCCCTGGGCTCGGGAAGCTTGGGTGGCTGCCTCCCCTTCTTTTTAAAGGGAGCAGGCCTGGCATCTTCTCTGTGCCAGGGGCTGCCTGGCACCAGCCGTACATTTCGGGAAATCTGAAAAATAAACAGTGTAAATAAAACCATAACTCCACCCAAGAAATCTGAGACATGGGCTGCCTTCCTTATTAACATGGCTCCATCCCCACAGTGGGTTTGATTCTTGGGGGTCAGATGCCTGGGGTTGGGGTTTAACCTGAATGGACCCTTTTCTCTCTCTCTTTTTTTAATCTTTGTCCAGGAGGGTGGGCGTCCAGCTGGGCTGGGGGGAGGTGCAACCGGAAGTGACTCGATCCACAGGAATGTGGGGTCTGGTCTTTCTCCATTCCTCACCATGCTGTTTCCATATCGAGGATTCACTGGGTTCGTGGGCTCAGCTGTCGCTCACTTGTGCCACTTTCAGCCCCGACAACTGACCTCTAAGCAGCTCATTGTGTGTGTGTGTGTTGAAGCGGCAGGGGTGGGACAGATGTTGAGAATTCTCATGTGTCATTGACTGTAGTGCAGCTCCTTGTTAGGGTGTGGAAGGAGGTCACAGCCATCACGGAGATGAGGCTGGAGCTGGCACCAGGAGTACCCACGCTCACTCTTCTGTCCTCTCAGCAGCCTCTGGGGCAGCGCTTGCCTCCACCTCCCTCTCCCTCCAGCCCTTGAATCAGAGCCACTCCAGGTTTGCCCTCTGCTGGTTTTAAGGGACCATGTGTTCTGGGAGCCGGATGCCGACCCCTCAGGCCCCCACAGGAGGCTGTGGTCCATCCAGCCTGGCTGGCGGGGCCAGCCTGGAATCACTATTCGCCTTTATCACTCAGCAGGATGACTCGCCTTTATCACGTTTCATCAGTGTCATGTGGGTGCCCAGGGAAGGATGCTCCCGTCTCCGCTGTGTGAGGCCAGGGGTAGTCAGAGTTCCTCAGAACAACGGGTCTAGTAGGAGAGAGGGAGGGAGCGATGAGGAATTGGAGTTACCACCTGCCATCTGCAAGTTGGACACCAGGGAAACTGCTGGTGGATTCAGTCCAAGTCTGAGGACTGAGAACCCAGGGGAGGCAATGCTTAGTCCTGGGGCAGGAGGAGACCGGGGGCTGCAGCTCAGGCTTCCTGGGGCTGCAGCTCAGACAGTCGGGCAGAGAAAGAATTCTCCTTTCCTCTGCCTTTTGTTCTGTTCAGGCCCTCGTGGGACTGCAGGATGCCCACCCGCACTGGGGAGATGATCTGCTTCTCCCAGACCATCAGTCACATGTTCATCTCGTCCAGAAACACCCTCACAGACAAGGCCAGAAATAGTGTTTAGCCAAATATCTGGGCACCCTGTGATCCAGTTAAAAATGACACATACAATCAACCATCGCGGTCTCTGTTATGGCTGGGGTGGGGCCAGGGGCTTGGTGGGAGTTTTGACAGCTTCAGGGCTTCTGACCCTCACTTCCCTCATCTGTGAAATGGGGGTGGTGGCACCTGCCTCGTGGGCCTGTCACACTGAGTGAGTAGGAGAATGGACCTAAAGCCCATGGTTGTCATGGAGCCTTGGCACGGGAAGTGGCTGCGGGAGCCCAGTGTCTACCTGGTCCTCCTTCAAGGACCCTCCAGTCCTCACCTCCTCAAAGCCTTACCAGTCACCCCAGCTCGCAGTGCTCACCGCCCTTGGGAACCGCATGTCACGTGCGTCTCTTGCAGTGTTGTTTACATGGTGTGTGTGTGTGTGAGTTGCTCAGTTGTGTCCAACTTTTTGCGACTTCATGGACTGTAGCCTTCCAGGCTCCACTGTCCATGGGATTCTCCAGGCCAGAATACTGGAGTGGGTAGCCATTCCCTTCTCCAGGGGATCTTCCCAACCCAGGGATTGAACCCAGGTCTCCCTCATTCCAGGCAGATTCTTTACCATCTGAGCCACCAGGGACGCCCATTTATATGGTAGGTGAGTTCAGCTCAACCTGGGGCCATCTTGGGGTCTTCCCCAGCCTGGAAGGAGGCCAGGTCTTAGTGGCAGGTATTTGCCAACACCAGGCTCTGAAGGACAGCCCTCTTCCCATCTTGTCAGATGTTGAGTCATCCTGCAGATGTGAGGACTGTCTGCGTCCCGGGGGCTGGACAGGGAGACCAGGCCTGCAGGCTGCCCTGGTCAGGACTCTGGAAACTTTCAAAACAAAGCAGACTGCATTCACTCCTGGTCTGTCATAGTTTAGGAGTGGGCTTGTGGAATAAGTGATGAATGAATGAATGAGTCTCTCTGGCAGACTGCAGGGGAGGAGCTGGCATGTCTGGCTCTAGCAATCTGGGTGCATGTCAGATGGCGGAGGCTGCAGGCAGGTGTCCGTGTCCAGCCCGGGCCCATCCTGGGCTGCAGGTTCTTCTCCAGCGTGTGTTGTTGTCCGCGGGGAAGGCTTCTGCTGGGCCAGCATGAGTGTGCCCACTGCCTTTTGCAGCTTGCCCTGGTCGCCCAGAGAGCAGACCCCAGAGCACCATGACCTTGGCAGCAATAGGACAGCCACCTGCCTCTCCCTCTTAGAAACCTCTTGAGTTTGGTCAGCTTAGCACCTCAGCAAATCTGCTCGAGTTGGGACTTGCCTGCCCTGAGCCTCCCCAGGGATCAAGCGCTGGGCCGAGGGGCGTGTGCAGGGAGGCAGGAGGCCAAGTGCATCCGGAGCTCTGTTCTGGCTCCCTCCTGGGGGGCGGGGAGGGAGGAGAACAGCTCGTCCCCCTCTGTCCGCAGTCCAGCCCGGCTTAACCCCTGTTACAGACCCAGGACAGGGAAACCCCAGTTCCCCACAGGGTAGATGCAGGTTGCCAGGGAGACAGGGCTAACCCTAGACAGGGAGCCGGCTGGCGCCTGACCGTGCCAGCACCTGTCCATCCTGCAGACAGTCCTGGCGGCCGGCACCCTGGAGCCCAGCCCAGGTTTTGGAGTTTGATGGACTTCACTTTGTTCTGGGCTCAACTCTTCATAGCTGTGTGGCTTCCAACAAGTGATGCAACCCCACTGAGACTTGGTTAGCTCATCTGCAAAATGGAGTAATAAGTGTCGGGTGGGAAAATGTGTATAAAGGGTTTGACCCAGTGCCTGGTTCGCGTCCAGATGGTGGTGGATGTTCCTGCAGGTGGCTGCTGGGGCCAGGTGTTACCTGGGAGGATTAGGGCCTCTGGCCCCTCAAGGGATGGGTTTCTGGTTCTGAAACCCCTGACAGGAGCTGAGGTGAGGATACGCCCAGTGTTAACCTTCGTCTGGTGGCCTTGGGTGACCTTTGCCCTCTGCCCCTGTCTTTAGGAGTCACACGGACCTCCAGCGGCCGTCTCCGGAAGCTTGGTGACCCAACTGGCCCGGGTAAGTGGCTAGTTCAGCCTTGGCCCGCTTGGTTCGTCTCAGGGCAGGAGTTACTGCTCATGGGATCTGAAGAGACTCTGCCAACCAAGACCTGGCCTGGGCCAAGGGGTGTGGATGGAGGGGGTGGAGGGGGTACGGGGCTCCACCTCTCAACCTTGGTACCCCCGCTGGGTCTGTGTGACTTCTCCCCTCTGGTTGTTTCCGGCCTCCCAGACCTGAGCCCTGTGTGATCATTACAGGAGCTGATCTTGCATCTTTGTTGTCACATCCAATGGCCAGGCCCAGGGGCTGGGCTCCATCCATGGCCTCTTGTCAGAGGATATTGGGGCCCAGGGGTGAAGGGACTTACCCCCCTCGGAGATGACAGGGGTGTGCTGGGGACCTGCTGGGTGCCAGACCCCAGGTTGGATGGGCAGAGGGACATCATGGTGACATAGCAGTTGTTTTAGAAGGAGGGGTTGTCCCACCAAAGCCCACATCCCCCTGAGCCCACGCCCCACCTTCTTGATCACAGAACTTTCTGTGTTGGTGGAAATATTCTATATCTGCATCGTCAAGAACCGTGGCCACTGGCCACATGTGACTGTGGAGCACCTGAAATGTACGTTGTCTGTTTTATTCTTTCATCTGCATAGAATTTAACTAATTTTATTTTGTATTAATTCCCACTTCGTATCTTCATGTGGCTAGTGGCTGTGAAATTAGCCAGTTCCAGACCAGGCTGGCTCTGTGGGACCCCAGAATTCTGAACTCAGATGTTCCTGGGCCCACTTCAGGGGCTAGCCCAACCTCTCCCCAGGTCTGTCCTCTGGAGGTGATGCCAGTGGGCTGGGTACCCCTAGGCTTGAGCCGTGGTCAAGGGTGGATCTTTGCAGGGAATGGGGTCAGGGATGGGGCTTGAGGTGACGAGGGACGTGCAGGCTGGACGTCCACACGAGAGTGTGGGAAGGACAGGAAGGGTGACGCAGGCCGGAAGCCTCTGGTCGGGGAATGAATCACGTCCGTGGTTAAGGGGAAGCTCCGCCCCACTGCAGACATGGGCCGCTAACCACTGGGCTGCCCAGCTGCCACTCTGTTCCTGGGAGCCATTCTCGGAGCTCTTCGCCTCTGCCGCTGTCTGCCTCTCCGTCTCCCTCCGTCTCGGTGCTGGGGGAGGCCCCTGCGCACCAGGAGTGAGGTCTCGGGAGGCCAGCTCCCTGGGCTGCGTGGACGCAGTCTCCTTCTGGCCCTTACTTCCCTGTGCCCAAGGCGGACAGTTCTGTGCCATCAGCACTTGGCAGCCGTGACCGCAGCTCTGCTTGGAAGCATAAGGCATAATTTGCCCAAGCCCGAAGCTGCAAGCCGTGATCTGGGTTTCACATGGAGCCGCCTGCTGACACACAGAATCCTGTGTCTGGGGGCCCCTGTGGGCTCCGGCCCAGACACCCTTCCCTCATCTTCCTGGCTCTCGGCTCCAGTCCCGGCCTCCCTGCGGCTAAGACCTGGGTCCGGGCGGGGTTCTCTCCCGGACCCTCTGACCTCACAAGGACCCCTGTTTGGAGCCTGCTGCCCCCTCCTCTCCTCTGTCCCCACCTCTGCCTGATCCCCTGTGTCTGGACCCCACATGCCATCTCCTCCCCAGAAGGCCGAGGGTCCTCTTTGTGATATCCCTTCCTTTATTTCAGGTTCACGAGACAGGTAGGGATGGCTGTTTCTGGCAAGAGCCCCACAGCCCATCAGCTCAGACTACCCACGGGTAACCCTATGGCCAGCTCACTCACTTTATGTCCTTTTTGTAAAAAAAAGAATTGTTGGACGTATTAAAAAGTGTGAAGGAGACTTCCCTCGTGGTCCAGCGTTTAAGACTCCATACTCCCAATGCGGGGGCCTGGGTTTGATCCCTGGTCAGGGAACTGGATCCCACATGCCATAGTATGTGCCAGAGACACAGACCTGGCACAGCCAAATAAATAAATATGTGATAAATACATTTTTAAAAATGTGAAGAATATAATGACACCTGTATGCCCAGCATCCCGCGTAGGAAATAAGGTGTTACAGGTGCAGCCCCAGCGCTTGGGTGACCCTCGTCCCCGCTGAGGTGAGCACCCATCTGAACTGGCCCTCGTCCCCGCTGAGGTGAGCACCCATCTGAATTCAGGACGGCTCACTGCTGGGTGTGTCTGTACCGTGTGCTGTGTGTCTGCAGCCAACACACTGTCTGCTCCTGACAACAGCAGTGTCGAATCACGTGCACAAGGGGGCTGCTGCCTTTTGCTTTTTCACAAGATGGGATGACCTTGAGATTTACCCACTTACATATAGCTCTGTGTGACTGTTGTGCTGCGCTGTGCTTAGTCGCTCAGTCGTGTCCGACTCTTTGTGACACCATGGACTGTAGCCCACCAGGCTCCTCTGTCCATGGCGATTCTCCAGGCAAGAACACTGGAGTGGGTTGCCATGCCCCGCTTCAGGGAATCATCCCAACCCAGGGATCGAACCCAGGTCTACTGCATTGCGGGCAGATTCTTTACCATTTGAGCCACCATGGAAGCCCAAGAATACTGGAGTGGGTAGCCTATCCCTTCTCCAGGGAATCTTTCTGACCCCTGCATTACAGGTGGGTTCTTCACCAGCTGAACTACCAGCGTAGCTCTTAAGTTTATTCATTTGACCGTGGGTGGGTAGGGTGCCTCCATGTGGGGAGGCAGAGTTTTCTACCCCTTGGCCAGATACTAGGGGTCCATGGAAGGTTTCTTCTTCTGTTGCAGACACTGCTGGACAGATTCTCCTGGGTCCCATGCGTGTGTGTGTTCCCCCGGGCAAATCACCTGGGCTCTGGGGATGCTTGCCCTGGGCCCTTCCAAGTGGCTTCCACTCTGCTCTCCCTTTCTGTGCCCTGAGTAGCCACCCTGAGCGGCTGCCTCCCAGACCAGCCGAACTTCGCCCCGGTTCCCACGGCACCCACAGCATTTCCCCTCTGTCTGCTTCCTCACCTCCGCTGCCGGGCCCACGCTGGTCTGTCCCCGGGCTGGGATCCCTGGGGCCTTCTCCTTCCGCCCTGACATCCGGTGTGTGGCCAGGTCCTGCTTTTCTCCTCCAAATGCTGCCGGGGGTGGTGGCCTCGTCCCCAGGCCCACCGTCGTCCCTCCTGTCGTGGGTTCAACAGTGCCGACCACCCCCGATTCATAGTCACTCAGAACCTCAGAAAGCGACTTTACTTGGACATAGGGCTTTTAGAGGTCCAGGGCTCAGAGGTGGGGTCATAGAGGAGTAGGGTGGCCCTAAATCCAACGACTGGGCTCCTTTTAAGAAGAGAGGCACAGACAAGAAGAAGGCCATGTGAAGACGGAGGCAGAGGTGGGAGCTTTGCCATCACACGCCACGGGATGCCTGGGGCCACGGGAAGACGGAAGAGGGAAGAAATTTTTCCCAGAGCCTCTGGAGGGACCACGGCCCTGCTGACACCTTAAGTTTGGCCTTCTGCCTCTAGAACTGTGAGAGAATTAATTTCTGTTATTTTTAAGCAACCCGGTTTGTGGTGATTCGTTAAAGCAGCTGCAGGAAGCTAGCGCCCCTTCCCTCCAAGATCGAGAGTCATCTACACCCATCCACGCAAGGCAGTCTCTAAAATGCCACTGTCTGGGCTGTGTTTCTGTCCGTACAGGGGGTGCCCAACGTGAGCCCCCGGCTGGTGTCCCTGCGGCCCCCTCCCCACCCTGGCTCACACACCCCTTCTTGCGGGGAAGGGCCCGCCCCAGTGTCCTGTCACTTCAGCTGCGCTGACTGCCTGCCATCCCCGCCCGCCCCCCCATGGACAGTAAGCACCGCAGGGGGGTGGGGCCGGACGGCTCGTTGCTCACCCTTTCTCCAGGGCAGCACAGAGGACCCCCGCTCCCTGTCACCAAGGGAAGGGGGAGTGTCCTTTGTGGGGGGCGGGGCTGGTCTAGGAAGAGACCTCGCCTGACACCTGGGCCCCCACAGGGATCCCCAGCTGCTATCCCCTGCCCCGTTCGCTGACACCCTCTCCTTCATTTCTCATGTCTCAGCCTCGTCATCCACCTAGGCACTTGAGCGAACATCTTGGTGTCGTGCTTGACCTCCATGCCCCCAGCGCCCCTAGATCAACAGGCTGCCAAGACCTTGTCGGCTCACCCACTGTGGCCCTCGGATGGGCCTCCCGTGATTCTCTCCGTGTCTCGGTCAGGCCTCCGTGTCTCCCCCATCCCCACTCTTTCTCCCCACCAGAGGCTCCTCCCTGTCTAGTCAGCGTCCTGGGGGGGCTTTACTAAGTCCCCCCTGTGTGCCTGTGCTTGGGCACTGGGCTCCACGCACGGGATTTGTTAAAGCAGATCTGGGCCTGGTCCTCTGACTGAGAGAACCCTCGCTTCCCTCCTCCGCACAGAATAAAGGTGCGTCTGTGCTGGGCTGCTTCAGTCGTATCTGACTCTTTGTGACCCCATGGACTGTGTGGCCCGCCAGGTTCCTCTGTCCACAGGATTCTTCAGGCAAGAATACTGGAGTGCGTTGCCATGCCCTCCTCCAGGAGATCTTTCCGACCCAGAGATTGAACCCGCGTCTCTCACATCTCCAGCATTGGCAGAGGTTCTTTACCACTAGCACCACCTGGTAAACCCAGCCTAATGCCCCCCAGCCCTGCCGGCCTCCCCCGTGTCCAGGCTCTCTCCTCACTGCTCCAAGGGGTCACAGCTCTGGAAGCTATTCTCTTTCCAGGGTTATTTGGTAATTTGACCCAGCCTGTCAATCCCGTTAGCCAGGTGGGCAGCGGGCATTGCTCTGTCCTCCCATCCTGTAGGGCTGGGTGCTCTTATGGCACTTGGCAGGCAGTCAGTAAATATTGCTGAACTGAACTTGATAGGAGAAGCTGGGTGGGGGGGCGGGGGAGTGGATTGGCCAAAAAAACAGATTTAAAATAGAAACATCAGTCTTCTTTTGCCTTGGCTGAGAAGTAGCTTTTCTCTTTGTTTGCTTTATGGGGGAGAGGCTTATGGAAAATGCCA